AGTACAAGCAGAGCCAGGTTCCCTGCCTTTTTGTGGACTCTGCCCCTGGGGTAGGATTTTGAGGGCAGGAGGTTGAATAGGTCTAATCCTGGTGCAACCCGTTGGCCTCAGGCACATCAGAGGCCTGGTGACATCTCAATATTACATCCTTTCTCTCCTAATTTTTGCTGTCCACTTTAGGTGGTTTATTGTCTCATTAAAAAAAAATAATGTGATGCAAGATTAACTAGAAGTGTTTATATTCTTTCCATTTCTGTTATATAGGTAGATAGATAACCTTCATTCAAAATGAGATCTGTTCTCTTTTATTGTGTCATTTGTAATTCATTTCTAGAACAAAGAAACAACATAGCATGAAAACCTCCAAAAGTTTCAATATTAATGCTTCCCTTTCTTTATAAGAATAAATAGCAGATTGAAGAGGGAAATTTCACAATTAGAAGTTTAGGAGCTAATTTTGGTGATTTGGTAAAAAAAAATTTACCAAATGTGTTGTATGCAGTGGTGTTATCTAATGTGAGTGTCAAGATGTCAGATTAGACCAAATCCATTTAAGAGTTTAGAGCTGTGTATCATCGTGGTTTAATTTGAAATTTTTTTAATTTTTTTTTAATTTTTTTTATTTACGATAGTCATACAGAGAGAGAGAGAGAGAGGCAGAGACACAGGCAGAGGGAGAAGCAGGCTCCATGCACCGGGAGCCTGACGTGGGATTCGATCCCAGGTCTCCAGGATCGCGCCCTGGGCCAAAGGCAGGCGCCAAACTGCTGCGCCACCCAGGGATCCCTAATTTGAAATTTTATAGGTCTTTGTGTCTATTATTCCAGATCATAGCTATATTTGGTTAGACTTTTTTTGGTGTTCATATTTACATAGATAAGCCTGTTTAAAGTCTTGGATCCATAGATAACTAGGGCTGACTAGTTTTTAAAATGCATTTAATGTATATAAATTATCAAATTTATCATGGGGTAGAATGTGAGAGAGGATGTAGTCTATAAAAGAAACCATTGTTTCTAAGACCAGGTCTGTTTCTTGTTTTGTTTGTTTTGTTTTGTTTGTTTTATTTTGTTTGTTTTTAAAGATTTTATTTATTTATTTATTCATGAGAGACAGAGAGGTAGAGGCATAGACAGTGGGAGAAGCAGGCTCCCTGTGGGGTAGCCCAATGCGGGACTGGATCCCAGGAACCCGGGGTCATGACCTGAGCCAAAGGTAGATGCTCAACCACTGAGCCAACCAGGTGCCCCAGTTTTTTTGTTTTTGAGTAGTTAATGCATGTCATGATTCAGAACTTAAAAGGAACAATAGGGTATGCTTTAAAAATTCAAGTACTCATTCCTCTTTCCAGGAGGCAACCTATGTTTTCATCTCTAACTAAAGTCATTCTAATTTTAATAAACTTAGGTTAATATTGACATATTGGTGATCAGTGAGTGCCTATATTTTATGTTTGGTTTAAAATTTTATTACCTGATCTTATTGCTTAAGAGCTTATAATTGTTTCTCCTTAACTATTTCCTTATTGGGCATTTACATTTTCTAAATCTAATTTTGTTACTCTTTAAAGTAACAAGTATATTTGCATATTTGTAGAATAGCAAACATTAGCTTTTTTTTTAATTTTTTTTTAAAATTTATTTATTTATGATAGTCACAGAGAGAGAGAGAGAGAGAGAGGCAGAGACATAGGCAGAGGGAGAAGCAGGCTCCATGCACCGGGAGCCCGATATGGGATTCGATCCCGGGTCTCCAGGATCGCGCCCTGAGCCAAAGGCAGGCGCCAAACCGCTGCGCCACCCAGGGATCCCCATATTAGCTTATTTGGAAAAATACAGATACTTTTTTTTTTCCACTGAAAAATTACCATATTTTTATTTCACAATTTAATACTTCTGAAATTCTGTATATTTTGTGATTATCTTTACTGTGACTTTTCTCTGTGAAAAGCTGTTTGTTTTTTTTTTTTAAGATTATTTATTTATGAGAGACACACAGAGAGAGGCAGAGACACAGGCAGAGGGAGAGGCAGGCTCCATGCAGGGAGCCCGATGTGGGACCATCCTGGGACTCCAGGATCATACCCTGGGCTGAAGGGAAGCACTCAACTACTGAGCCACCTAGGCATCCCTGAAAAGCTGTCTTTAATGTAATAATATCACTATAATCAGTAGAAGCTTAAAATAGAAATGATATTTTCCTGTATTTGTTTTTCAGAAAGGAAACAGTTAAGAATGTGATAAAACATAATCTTTGTTCTGTCACTAGATTTCTTACTAAAGTGATTGGATTAATTGCCAGTTTTATTCCCCAATCCCACTGTCTCTAGTTTAACATGTATGAGATAGTGGTCAGTCTCAGAGTTTAGAAAAGGACAGTGCATATTTGCCATGAATATTTCCTTTTAAGTGTTATGAAATATCTGAAGTTTTAGCCAACTTAAATAACAGTCTTTATTTTTTCTAAAATTATTCAATGTTTCTGAGTAGTATTGGCCTCCATATTCCTAGGCCTATCATAACGTGTTTTGAAATATAAATTTTTAAGGCATATACAGACTATGTAGTTGCTAGACCTTTTCCTTCTTCAAATATAGTAGAGTAGCTAAGTGTGAAAATGAAACACATAGATGTGCGCCTTACTAGAGTGTCATTGCTTTCTTGTTTACGTGCTCATGTGTCAGATCTATATGTAAATGCAAATCAGTTTAGCTTTGTCCTTCTGTCCAGTGCATTGTCAGGACTTAGTATGCATTCTGGGTAACAGATCTTCCAAGCATACAACAGTTGATGTGTTAGATGTTACATGTACACTCAAAAAGAAATGTGGAAAAAAAAAAAAAAGAAATGTGAAGAGTTGTTTTTTTTTTTTTTTTTTTTTTTTTTTTTTTTTAATGTGAAGAGTTGTTAAAGGAGTACAAATCTCCATAAACTAGCAATTATTTCCAAAAGAGTCTGATGAGGAGGGGCAGAGGACTCACGGGGCAAGGGACTGCTGGTTGCAGTACTCCTGCTCTGTGGGATGTTATACTTTACTAATGATTAAAAACATGAAAGGATTTTGTATTTATTTAAACATGATGTCCATATTTAATGAATGGCACCCAAGGTTTGACACCATTTGGTGGTGGCAAAGTTTGGGGATTATAATCAAAATTTGTGTTTCTATTCTTCTTTTTTTTAATCTGCTTTAGTTGAGAACATAAGGTGTATTTTCCCAAAGATAGTCTTTTAACCATTATTTAAACAAAGATTTCAGGGAAGTAGTAAACTTTTTCAATTGGTTTGGTTTTTAATACTAGCTATGGGAGCAATTACTTGGATTATCATTTTAACATAATTTTTCACCCAGCAATCCTTTTGAAAGTATTGTTTGCTTAGATTGAAACATTGAAATGCTTCCTTCTCCCTGCAGTGCAGTAGATTAAGAGAACGAAACACAGGCAGATCAACATGTAAAATTGGGTCAGTTGTCATTCAGGAACTTGTGTGCCAATGGTATGGATTGTTGAGTGGGGAGTTGCAGGAAACCCAGAGAGAGACAGCAAATTGCTGCACCCCCTTGCTTGGTGGACAAAAAGAGGATTAGGGCCCTGGGGAATCCAGGACAGTAAGCTTCCACAAAGCCAAAAGGAATCTTGTGTCGGTGTTGGTGGTTGTGGACGTCGTGGTCGATAGGAGTAAGGGGTCAGGATTGGAGCAGGCATAGTTGAGGGGTTTATAGCCCCCGGACAGTTAGGAGAATGGGCTGAGACTTGCTACCTCTGGCAATAGGACTGGGAGACCTGTGGGTTTTAGAAACATGAACAGGAATGTGGGTGAAGGTAGAGTGCTGAAGGGTCCATGAAGGCTGCTCGTGAGTTTTAAGGGTATTGTTTGTAGAACCTCTGTACCTCTGAATTATGGTGCCCCAGTGAGGCCTTTCCTGGTTCCTGTTCCACGTGTGACATGCTATTGCAGTGAAGTTATGATTCTGTAGTATAATATGATTATATGACTGTGGTGATGATTGTGTAACATAAATAGCTATAGTTCAGATGAAGATGCACAAATGAGTTTTTTTCACTTTATGGAGATACATATATATGTTTTAAAAAATTATATATATCTGTATATACGTATACCAATACAAACACATTTTTCTTATAAAAACTAAAAAAAAAAATTGGTAGCAGTTTTGTTAAACATTCTTTTTATCGCCCCCCTACTAGTTAACAGGTTTCAGATGCAAATACACCCTCATTATCCAAATTCAAATCCCTGTCACTCACCACCATTGTGGAGTGTAGCTTTGATTTGCCAGTTTTGTCCTCATGGTAACTAGATGTTCCATTTCCCAGCAGAGTTTTTCTGGTTTTGTCTTGATACTGTAAGTGTCTTTCTGAATTCTCTCCTTTTAGCTGTGTATCTGTCTCAAGAGTTTTGCTCGGTATAGTACGTTTTAGAATTTGAACCAGGGGAGACTTTTCCCCTCTGACTTAAGACACCTCTGTGGGCCAAAGTTGTGTTAATTGCTGTACAATCCAAGGAAGCAGAAGCAGGTGGCTGAGCTAACGTGAATGCTTGCTAAGAGAAGGAAAGTGACCATTATAGATCCAATTTTTACCTCCAGCTTACAACCAGTCTTCTACTGTCTCTTTCCCTTTCATTGGGGAGCTCCCCGTTGCCTCATCTGGCTTCACTTTTATTTTCCAAATGAGTTTATTAGTTTTGCCATCTTGGATATGGTTGGGTTGACCCCGGGAAGACTGGTTTGAGAACTACTGTTGACAACATTTCAAATCAAAACAAACCCAGGCATAGATTGGTTCGAAACTGAGTTTGGGATCATCCCTGTGAGCTCCTCTAGTACCGGCCAAAGTATGGGACTCTGTTCCCTTGTGAAGAGGGTGGAGTAGAGTGGTGCCATGTAAAGGCTTTTTCTGGATTTTTCTTGGTAACACTGCCAGTTGGTCTCTGATTCAGAAATCTGCTTTTCTCTCTCTCCTCCCTTGTCTGCAGGCTGGTGGCTCTCAAGTCATCTTTACTAATCCGCTGGAGATAGTAAAGATTCGCCTGCAGGTAGCTGGTGAGATCACCACAGGACCCAGGGTCAGCGCCCTGAATGTACTCCGGGACCTGGGACTTTTTGGTCTGTATAAGGTGGGTAGATTCCCTTGGGTTATCTCAGTAGAGAGCTTGTAATGTACTCAATAGAATCATGAAAGAATGTGGAAACCAGGCTTCTCCCCTCCCCTCAAAGTGGAAAAGCAATTTTGTCCAACAGGGTACAAAATCAGACAAAAAGAAAAAATCAGGACACTTTTATTAGAGGCAGTGGGATATACAAACCCACCCTCCTGTTGTCATCTTCAGCTTTACGAAGCTGCCAGCAGGGGGCTGACACTGCAGACCCGATGTCTTTGGGCTCCTAGCCTTTTATTTGATGGCAGGTTTGGGGAAACTTTCTTTGGTGTTCTCTTTGGTCTGTTTTAGGACTTCAAAATAGTCTTATGTTTATTTTGAGTCTGAGTTATCTCTATTGTTATCTTCCCAGTAGGAGCTTCTTCTGTTTGTCTTAATAATTTGACCACAGTGAAACAGTAGTAGAGTTTGGTAGAATTCAGGTCTTTAAGAAGTTAAGTGGTGGGATTTGTCAATAATGAATTCCATTAAAAAAAAACAAAAAACAGAGTGTACTGTACTTTAGCAAAATGCCAGTCAACAGATTCCTTCCCTGCAGGTATACTTACTCCCATCATTACAGATCAGATGTAATGGAGCAGAAGCTATTATTTTTCTTAAACAAGGAAGAGTATTTCTTTCCATTCTTTTGCCTGGTATAAGGTGGGAATACGTAAATTTGGCTGCTATTAGAGAAATGTTTCTACAGCATCTGATTTATTTATAGATCTATCACTGTAGGGATGCGTAAATTGGCTTCTATAGCTACAAATTGGAAATTAGAAATTCTCTAGATTAGAATCATACAGGTACAGGGCTCTTAGGAGACCAGTAAACCAATGATGCCTACCTTGAGAGAGTTCTGTACACATTCCTTCCCCTTCACCCCCAATTTCCATCCTTTTTGAAATTCCCTTTGAGAGCTAAATTTTTTAATACTGTTTCTGCCTGTATCATCCTTTAGAGAGTCCTTGAATTTTTTTTTTAATGTTTGAGTTTGTCTTTTGAAAACAACCATTGGAGAAACAAGTGCCAAAGATGGATTATTCAGGTGGCTAGGTCAAGCTCTGTCCTGTAGAATAGCCCGGGCTGTGACCAAGCTGAGGAAAGTGTTTATTGTTCCTCAGTCCCCGAGATAAGCCATCACTGGGTAGCTTTCTATTCCCGTGGAAACTTCTGCTAAAATAATTCGACCCAGTTCCCCCAATCTGCTGTTTAGGACATGGGGACTGAGGAGGGAAGATTGGTGGTTTCTTTTTCCCCTTCCCTAGAATGGTCACCTTTCTTTTCCATTGCCACTGCCTATAGCTTAACTGGTACTTCATGGGCTCTGTGCTGTATAGATTGAATGGGTAGATTGTTAGTTTTGGGGGGTGCCTTTGCTGGTTGCTTTGGAATCTAGCTATTAACATTGGGTTTCCAAGTCTGTTCCCACTCATGCCCCTCCCCCTCGCATCCACCAAAGCCACACAGAACAAACAGCCTGGAGGTTTGAGAACTGAATTTTTATTAACCTTAAAATCTGAATCTACATTGGAAATGCCAGGAAATTCTTAGTTGTCATGATAACATCAGTACCCAGTTAACTAACTCTGGGTCCCCAGGGTCTACCAGCTTTTCTCAAACTTTGAGCCATATATAGTTCCTGTGCCCCTCTCATTTCTCCCCCATTTCCATTCCACATCAGTCCCCATGCTGTTTGAGGGAGCACCTAGGGCGTGTCACCCTGGATCCCTTGTGGGCATTCATGGCCCTGTTTACACAACCGTTTTGCACTATTTCCTCACTTGTGACAGGGTGCCAAAGCGTGTTTCCTCCGAGACATTCCCTTCTCTGCAATCTATTTTCCTGTTTATGCTCATTGCAAACTACTTCTGGCTGATGAAAATGGACACGTGGGAGGTATAAATCTCCTTGCAGCTGGAGCCATGGCAGGTAACTACAATTTTTTTTAACCCCCCCCCCCCCCAATTCTTTAAGAAGTACAGAATCTCTGTGCACTGTCTGCCTTTATTTCTGGAAGGGTTATTGTTTGTATCTGACTTAGTTTAAATATGATCGCTTTTTCTCCTTTGTGGGATGTGCTGTAATTCTGATGAGAGTTAATTACATTTGCATAATGTGGATAAACAGCGTAATGCAGCTTAGCAACTCAGAGCCAAATTAGATCTGCCCATCTAAATTGGGCTTTCATCATTAACATGCTTCTTAGCCTCTCGTGCCCCTGAAACCTTGGGTGCAGCCAAGCTAAGCATTGAGGTGGAAGAGTTCTTCATCAAATCAGTTGCTTCATTGTACCTCATGGGATGCCCAGGTCTAGCATGCCTCACTTTCTATTTCTGCCTGATGGAGTCTACATTTGTCTCCAAATTGAGCTTTCTTCATGATACTATCGATGTTCCTTCTACCATCGTTCTCATTAGATACAAATAAGCAATACTTCCCAGCAAACTACCCTGTACTCAATTGGCATCTCTTCTCTGTCCCTTAACACTTACTTTAGTAATAGTTCTTTGTGGAAGTTTTATTTTCTGTACTAGCCTGGGAGCTTTTGAGGGCAAGAGTCTCATTTTCTTCATTCTTGCTTTCCCTTCATGGCCAGCATAGTAATAAAAGGAGATTGGATGTCAGTGGAACAAATGACAATCTTCATCTGGTCTGAGTTCCCAAATTAGACACAAAAGAGATAACATTTGAAAGAGGAGCCTAACATATGCAGGAAGGTAGTAAGATGTTTCCTTCTGATCTCACAGGTCTAGCCTTCTTCTTGAAGGAGCTAGCTTGAGATAGAAGGGGAGGGCCAGATGTCCTTGGCCGCACCAGCACTCAGAAATGACAGAGGAAGGTAAAGGCTGTGTGTCTGCCACCCATTACCACAGGTCAGGGATAGAAACGTGAAGGGTGAACACAAACTCAGACGCAGTATCCAGATGCTCAGTATAGGTCTGCCAGCCTTGGGCTCATGATATCGTGTAGCTCTCACTGGGTTCATTCTCCTCCAGTGCCCTGGCGGGACAGTGGGACAGCCTCCTGAGCACTTCCGGAAGTGCAGTGTGTGTGGTGGGATTCAGCGGTGTGTTGGGAAGGACCATTTTCTTGTTCTCATCCGTGAAGACAGGGAATGACTCGTGATGGTTAAGAAACTCTCCCAGGGAGCTCCAAGCCCTTATTTGGGGTCCACCAAATCCTTTGTCCTCTGGCATTTGTTACTTTAGTCAGTTGAAAGCCAGAAAAGCGGCCTGCTCCATGTTGGCACTAAGTGCTCATCCAGCCCCTTTTTGGTCGCCAAAGTCTCCCAGATTGTTTGATTGATTTTTAAAGATTTTATTTATTTATTCATGAGAGACACAGAGAGGCAGAGACACAAGTAGAGGGAGAAGCAGGCTCCATGCCGGGAGCCTGACGTGGGACTCGATCCTGGGTCTCCAGGATCAGACCTTGGGCCGAAGGCGGCGCTAAACCACTGAGCCACTCGGACTGCCCAGTCTCCCAGTTTTAAACAGGGCCAACACATTCTCCCTCCAAGCTTTTGCCTCTGCTTTCTAGTCAGCAGCAAAAATCCAGCCAAAGAACAGTCTAATCGTGGACAGGCATTTTGCCAGTGGCTGATGGAACCAAGTTAACATTTCCATGGAACTGTCAGCACCAACTTCTTCCCCAGATATTTGATGTTAGTTTTCAGAATGAGAGATTATTTTTTCTAATTTTTACCGAGAAAGCCTTACTGGCAGGCCCTCAGAACGCTTAGAATTCAGAACATTCCAACGACAGGCAAATTCCCTGGTTTCATCTGAATACAGTGCAGGGCCATGTGGAGGGGAGGTATTCTGCATCCTCCTGTAACAGGCTCCCACAAGCCCGCCGGCTCCATCTGCTTAGGCATGATTTGGTGATATTCAGGCCAAATTGAATATCAACCCTCTGAGGAAGGTTATCTTGCTCCTTTGTTCCTTGCTTTGTTCTATAAGTGAGAGATGTGGTTGTGAAATCCATCTTGGGTATCCCGCTGCAGATTAATATCGGCATGACCAGGAGTTTAGGCACAGGGGATAGATGATAAGGCCTTTGGATGATCAGTTCTGTTGTTGCTCCAGTGGTAATGACTTCTGTCATGTAAGCATGTCTGAAAAGAGTCCCAGTCAGCTCTTGAGTTGGCCCCTTAAACACGCGAATGGATGTGAGTATTGACATTCACCTTGCACCGTAAGGTGACAAGAATAAGCAAGAAGCACTAGCATCTCATTAAACTGACAGTGTCCTCATTTCTTATTATATACAAATATACTTCTATCTTATTTACCAAAAAAAAAAAAAAAAAAAAGGAGGTTGATATAATTGAATCCTAAAAGGGAATACTTGGGAATTGTCCTAGTAATATTGCTGCAGTTTTTCCTGTCATAGTTCTTTGGTATCATGCAATGTAGCGTGATTTTCCTAATTCAGAAAGAAAAAAGAATTTTGTTCCACACTGAAGCAACTAATAGGTTTGTGTGTCCTTTTTGCCACGAGTGCCTGGGCATCTATTTAAGAAACTTTGAGTTAGAGCAGTTAGAGTTGCTAATCATATTGTTAGGCGTTAGCAGTATTTCTGTTCTGTATGAGGTACATTGGATGACTTAAATGTGCCTTTCTCCTGAAAGGTGTGCCTGCTGCTTCGCTGGTGACCCCCGCCGATGTCATCAAGACGAGACTGCAAGTGGCCGCCCGTGCAGGCCAGACGACATACAGTGGTGTCATTGACTGTTTCAGGAAGATACTCCGGGAAGAGGGGCCCTCAGCATTTTGGAAGGGGACCGCAGGTAGGGGCTAGGGCCTTAGAGATTGGCTGGCCAGTGTTAGGGACCTGCTTCCATTACTTATTGCCTTTGCCACAGTCATATTAAGTATCCCCTCTCCCGTCTCTTTTTCAGCTCGAGTGTTTCGATCTTCTCCCCAGTTTGGTGTTACTCTGGTCACGTATGAACTTCTCCAGCGGTGGTTTTACATTGATTTTGGAGGCCTGTAAGTGCAGCTGTTCAACTCTTTGTGAAAGAAAGCACCAAAACCAAAATAGGTTTTTGTTCAGCAGACAGAGGCATTGTTGGGATTCTTAGAACTCGTAGGACAGAGAATCCTACAGGACCAATGCATTTAAAACAAACAGTGGGCTTGAGAAGTTTCAGTATTAGGGGAATAAGATCTCGGTAGGGTGACATCATGCAGTATTAAGCAGCGACTTGGGGAAAGTGAAGGCAAGTCGCAAATTAAAATGTTATGTGAATAAATTGTCTTTTGTAGTGTAAGTAAATACAGAGCTTCATGGATTTAAGTCCTTATTATTTGAATTTTATCACATGGCCTTTACACCAGATGTAATGTAAATTTGTATTAGTAAGGCTTTTATGAACTTTCTTTCCAAGACTCAGTCAAGCTCTTTCATACCTCTGAGACTTCATTATTCACCATGATTATTAGATATAGATGTTATTAGAATAAAAACCAGAAAAAACAGGTTCAGAGAAAGAATATGCCTATAGACATAATCACTGGTGAGATCTAGATCAGAAATTGAGCCAGTCCTGGGAAGAAAGGGAATTACTTGTTGAATCTGCTGGGTGGGCAAGCAGGCAATAATTAGCTTTTCAGCAGATGATCAAATCTGATATCTGGGTCTTTACCTCATCAACCTTTTACCCTCTTCCTTGCTCAGAGGCCAAATAGGGAATTAGCTGTTGAGCCACGAAGTACAGGGATTTTTCCAAAGTAGGAAGTAAGAACAGCAATCTTACAATTCCAGGGTCCTTTGTGTTTTCACATTCTGTAAGAGTAAGAATCGTATCTATGTCTCTTTAAATTTAATGATTACCTTCATGAGTCTACTTTTGAAAAGTTAGCCTTTTAAACTATGTCAAAATAAAAGAAAGATGCAAACTTTTTATGACTAATTTATGCTTAGTGCAGAAAATTTGGAAAATGTGGAAGTATAAAAGAGAAGATCACTCACAATCCTACTTCTCAGAGAGTGTTAATGTTTTTTTGTGTTTTTTTTTTTAATTTTTATTTATTTATTCATGAGAAACACAGAGAGGGGAGAGAGAGAGGCAGAGACACAGGCAGAGGGAGAAGCAGGCTCATGCAGGGAGCCCGACATGGGACTTGATCCCGGGTCTCCAGGATCACGCCCTGGGCTGAAGGCGGCGCTAAACCGCCAAGCCACCCAGGCTGCCCGAGAGTGTTAATGTTTAAGTGTATTTTCTTCTGATCTTTTTTCTGTGTGGCTCTATTTATAAATTGAGGCCATTTCTCTTCCAAATAAAAAAAAAATGTGAAAGTGTTGCTTTCAAAGCAGCTATAAGTCATGACAAATGGAGCATAGATGACAAGGAAGTAGCTGGACAAACACTCCTCTCTGTGGCACGTGGGGGGAGACTGAAAATGTTCTTGCCTCCTCACGTGCCACCCGCATCAGTCTGGAGCTTCTAACCATTGGCTTTTTCCTATCAACAGCAAACCGTCTGGCTCAGAACCAACACCTAAGTCACGCATCGCAGACCTCCCTCCTGCCAATCCTGATCACATCGGTGGATACAGACTTGCCACAGCCACTTTCGCGGGCATTGAAAACAAGTTTGGTCTTTATCTCCCCAAATTTAAATCTCCTAGTGTTGCTGTAGTTCAGTCAAAGGCAGTGGCAGCGGCAGCTCAGTGATGAGACAACCATTGAGGGTGGCAAAATGGTGCCCTGGAGAAAGAAGCCTAGAAGAGCAGCCCTGTAATGTACCCAGTCAGCTGCATGGTGCTGGCTGAGCTGAGGAGGCAAACTATTCTTTCTATATGACATATACATATATTTGTTTATAAAATAATCATTTGCCCAGGAAAAAGCAACAATGCAGTTTCAAACTTTAGTGTTAAGTGTTGAGATGTTTTCTAAGCTCTGGCATGAATTAGTGTTCTAGACTGCTTTGCACAGCTTGCACTTATAGTGACTGTACATATTGTACATCTTTGTACAGAGACATCTTGGCACCTCATCCCAACAAATCACGTTTATAGAATGTAATGCGGTTCTAAGTGGCTTGAAATGTACAGAATGTTTTGAAAGTGTTTTATTAAGAGTCACACAAAAATAAATGTATTAAAATTAAATTCATTCTCTTATTGGTGGCTTATGGAAATAAAGCATCAATATTGGATGTATTTAATTTCCAGTTCATTTTCCATTCTGGAATAAAAAGGTATTTGCTGATAGGAGGCATAATGAGACCAAGTGCTTACACCATTGATGAAGAGAGTCTTTGGAAAAGATGCATGCTAGCAGATGCAGAGGAGCAGGCTAATGACTTGTGTGTGCTGATGTGTTTCTATTTGTATTTAACACGTGTGTAGATTCTCCTCTGTTCATCAATCAAAATGCATTTCCTAGACAGCTCCCCTCCTGTCAGTGTGCATATGGAAACAGGGATGTCTCCCGCATTACTTAGTTTGCTTTCCTCTGACACAGCAAGGCGGGGGCCTAGCTTTCAAGATTAAAGGATACTTTGGCAATTTTTCTTCATGTGGATATGATCCCCCCTCAAAATAAAATGCACACCAAAATGTATGGACGTAGTTGGATTTTCCTTCATAAATACACTGATAGTGCTTATATTTTGATTCGCTACCAGTTTCCAAATAACTCATGATCAGGTTTCCCTCTTTCCCACTTCTGTAGGAAATTATTTGATTTGGAAAGGGCTATGGGAGTGAGGGGAGGGAAGAAGAAAAAGAGAAGATGTATCTTGTGATTTTTTTTTTGTGTGTGTGGAGTCTTGGTTCTTCCTTATGAATCCAAATCCAAACTACTTATTCCAAAAGTCACTCACCAAGGGTATGATTACTAATTTAGGTCTAAACATGCATCTTGACAGCCGCATCTACACTTTGCTATGGTTGTGATTTGATGTGTACATCAGAATTTACTTTAGCAAAGTGCTTTGGGAAAAACATTATTGCTTTTGCCAATGAGCCAGGATATGAGAATGTATGCAAATATTTTCCAGGGGCAAACTTGGAGATAGACCCAGTCACTTAGAATCCTACACAGCACTTATCACTTGATGGCTGACAGCCCTGTAACACAACCATAGGCTCTCAGGCCCCCAAGGAACAAAAGACTTAGCTTTGAAAGCAAGTTATTTCCAAATGTATTCAGTTCTCATTGGAATGGAATAAATAGCAATACAGTTGTTTCCTATTACCGCCTGTTAAAAAATATGCAAGTAGTCCATGGATATGTTCTTATAAAAGATTCATGGAATATCTGTGTATATAATTGACCTTTGAACAACTTGGGGGCATGGGGCACCAACCCCCTGTGCAGTGGAAAACTGGCATATACTGACTCCTTGAAAACGTAACTACTAATACCTTACTACTGACCAGAATCCTTAAACCAATAGCATAACCAGTCACTTAACACATATTTTGTATGTTATATGTTGTATGTATTATTCTTATAATGAAGTAAGCTAGAGAAAAGAAAGTGTTAAGAAATCATAATGAAAGTACATTTACAGTATCATATTGAAAAAAATCCACATAAAAGTGAACCGATCTCTCAATTTGAACCCAAGCTGTTCGAGGGTCAACTGTATAGAGTAAGATGTGAAAGTGCCCTCTTCACCCTGCTTCTCCCTGCCTGAGAGGTAATCACTAACAGGTTAGAGTCTAAATTTGTAGTCTGTTTTTCATACTTCTTTATATAAAAAATATATGTACATGTTTATATCTTAAAAACAGGGTTATGCTATGTGTGTATTGTTCTGTGACTTAGGTTCACTTAATATCTTTGAGATGTTTCCATGCCCATGCATAAAGATTTATCTTAGTTTTTAATAGCTGCATAGGATTCCATTGTGTGGGTTCTGACACTTTTCATAAATACTTCCTTATTGACATTGATTTTTTTTCACTATTGCAAGCACTACTGCAGTATGTATCTTTTACACTGGTGTACATCTTTTTGTACATATATTTTGAGTACATGTGCTAGGATTTCATTGGGATATTTAAAATTGGAACTGATAATTCACAAGATAAGGGTTTTGCATTTTTGTATATATTGCCACATTGTTCTTCAGAAAGGCTTTACTAATTTACTTTCCTACTGACAGCGTATGAGAATGCCTTTTTCTTTATAACTGCAGAAATGGGTATTAGCAGTCTTATATTTTAAGTAAATCATGATAGGTGATCACTGTTATTTTAATTCTCATTTTCTTAACTACTTAAAAGGTTGAATGTCTTTTCATATTCACTGGCTATTTGTATATTTTCTTATTGTGGAATATACAGAAAGTACATGAGATGTACATGTATGTATGTATATACACACATAGTTTAAAGTCTTAAAGTGAACACCCATGTAACTACGCATGTCACAAAATAGAATAGCTTTTACACCTCAGAAATTCCCACATATGATCGTCTCCATCACCTTCTTTGTCTCCTCTTTAACACCAGCCCTACTCTCTTCATTTCTTTATAGTTTACACTCATACATGTATACATATACTCCTAAATACAATATTTAGTTCCTGTTTTTGAAATTTATATGATCAAATTATATTGTAGACTTTTGAAACTTGTTTTCTTTTGCTATACATGTTTATAAGATTCATCCATATAATTGTATATGTCTATACTTATTCCATTATATGAATATAATTTTTCCATTTTACTCTGGACATCTGAGTGGTTTCTAATTTGAGGATATTACAAACAGTGCTGCTCTGGATATATTGTCTGTGTATTCTAGAGTATGCACTTTTTTTCTTTATAGGTTTATTTAATCTATACACCCAGCATGGGGCTCAAATTTACAATCCCAAGATCTAGTCGCATGCTCCCCCAGGCTTCTAGAGTATGCACTTTTAAAAGGATATATACCTACAAGTAGAACAACAGAGGCATAGGTTTGTTAGACTCTTGCCAGATCACGCCAAACTATTTCCCAGAGATTCTTGTAGTGATTTATATTCCCCTAAGGGGATATTGGCTTCTTATTTTTACCAATCTGTTGGGTGTATAGTGTTATCTCATTGTGGTCTTACTTAGCATTTTCCTTATGTCAAATGAGGCTGAACACCTTTCTTATGTTCATATATATTGCCCCATTGTTCTTCGAAAAGACTTATTTACTTTTCCTGCTGACAGCATATGAGAACACCAACATGTTCACCGGCTAGTTAGATGTCATCTTTAGTGAGTGCAGTATGTGTTAAAGTTTTGTGTCCATTTTTTCCCCAGTAATTTGCAGAGGATTCTTATATATATCTTGGATACTACTCTCTGAGTTGTATTTGCAAGATCTTTCCCCAATTTGTGGCTTGTCCTTTCACAGTGTTTTTGATATATTAACATTTTAATATGTTCACATATATTTCTACCTTATGGTTAAAATGTTTTATATTTCACTTAAAAATTATTCTCTCTCTAGCTCATGAATATGGTTGATATTTCCTTCATAAATAATGCGTTATAGTTTTGTGTCTCACATTGAGGTTTCATCCTACTTGGAAATGATTTCAGCATGTGGTATGAGGTAATTTTTTTGTGTCTTTATATGGTTAGTCTGTTGTTCCAGCGCTGTTTATTGAAAAGACCTTCTATTCCCTACTGCTTTGAAGTGCCTTCTCCAGCTATATATTGAGTGTTGATATGTACAGACATCTCTTTCTGGACTATTTATTTTGTTTTATTGGTCTTCCCCTGTGCCAATATACACTCTCTTCATTACTCTATCTTGAAAAGAAGTTTTGATATATAGTACTCCAGGTCCTTTCACCTTGTTATTCTTCAAGAGCTTGTGGCTTTTCTTAGTTCTTTGCTCTTTCATATCCATTTTAGAAACAGCTTGTGAATTTCCTCCTAAAGACTAAGCAAACCAAACACAATGAGATTTTAATTGGAGTTGCAATGACTCTATAGGCCATATGGGGAGAATTTACATCATTATACTGGACCTTCTAGTCCATGAACATGATATATCTCTTATTTAAGTCTTTTTAATGTCCTAATAAAATTTTATTATCACCAAAGAGGTCTTGTATATCATGTATATATATTCATTTCTAGGTATGTCATAATTTAGATAGTATTATATCTTTTTTAAAAAGTCATTCCTGGTATATAGAAATGTAATTGAGTTTCCTCCCCACTTTTTATTTTTAAAGATTACAAATCTGAAGAGATAGTATGAAACTCTGAATATGTTTCAACTAGATTCACTTATTTACATTTTTCCATGCATTCTTTATCTTTGCAAATACAGTTATTTTTGCTGAACCATTTGCAAGTACGTTGCAGATGACATGGTACATCATTCTTAAATATTTTAGCAACATCTTTTTTTTTTTTAAAAGCAAACATCTCCTAATACTGAGGACATTCTGCAACCAAACACCATTATCACACATTAAAAAAAATCTACAATAACTTCATATTATCTGATACTATAAAAATTCAAACCTTCTCAACTACTCCAGAAATGTCTTTGTTTTTCTGAAGTGTAGTCTAATCAATATTGATGCATTATGCTTGGCTGTGCATCTTTAGTTCTTAATTCTGGAATAGTCCCATGGTTTTTCATCTGTTTGTTGGTCCTTAACATTGTAAGTCATTTGTCTTACAGAGTATCTTGTATTATTTATCTGATTGTTTCCTTGTGGTATTGTCTAACTCATCCCAATGCTATAAACTGGAAGTCTAGTGATACAGTGGTTAATTTTCCTTTTAAGAGCTTTACTGCTGAGATATTCTTTACAAAGCTATGTAATCATCACCGCAATCCAATTTTAGTACATTTCCATCACTTCCCCAAATGTAAAATATATCATTTTATATTCCTACCAGTAATGTATGAATGTTACAGTTTTTCCCCTTCTCACCAACATTTTATGGTCTTTTATTATAGTTATTCAATAGGTATGAAGTGATACGCACTGTGATTTTAACATCTACTACCACATTGACTAATGATGTTGGGCATCTTTTTCATGTGCTTATAGACATTTGTGTTTAAGGCTTTAGCTATTTTTGAATTGGGATTTATCCTTTTATTATTATTGAGTTGTAAGTGTCTTTATATATTCTAGAAATGAGTCCTATATCAGATTTGCAATTAATTTCTCCCAGTTTATTTTCTTAATCATGTCTTTGAAATGCAAAAAGTTTGTTTTTGTTTTTGTTGGGGGGGGGCAGGGAGAGGGAGATGCCCAGCACATGAGCCCAACATGGGGCTTGTTCTCATAATCCTGAGATCATGACCTGAGCCGAAATCAAGAGTTGGATGCTTAACCAACTGAGCCAGCCAGGTGCCCTGAAATGCAAGTTTTAAAATGTAAGTCTGGTTTATCAATTTTCGAATTTTATGGATCATGCTTTGGTGTCATCTGAGACCCCTGCCTAAACCAAGGTCATCAAGATTTTCTATTGTTTTCTTTGAAAAATTTTCTGTTTTAGCCCTTTTAGATCTGTGAACTATTTGAAGATAATTTTTGTGTGTGGTGTGAAGGGTCTAAGTTCATCTTTGTGCATGCAGCTGTCCAGTTATCTTTTCCC